ACTTAATCTCATCTCCACATTCTGACACTTTTTAGCACTGATTAAAGAAACTGTACTGAAGTTGTACAGGGCTCTATGTGTTTAAAAATAAAAAAAGACATATTTAAATAATAAAAAAGATTCTTAAATAAAAAATAAAATATAAAAAATACTTAAAAATAAAAATATTTATTGCAGTTAAATAAATCAGAAATGTTAAGATCATAAGCTTGCAACTTATAGCTCTTTGCTTCAGAAATGCATGGTAAACATCCTAGCTAGAAACTAGACCTATAAAAAACAGACCATTATTTGCTGCAGAGATTTCAATTCTGCTGCTGCTGCAGCTTCAAAGAGCTGTGTTTTTAAACACAATTTTAACAGTCACCAGCATACCTTGCTTTGCTCCACGGGGTGAACCACCTGAGTTCTCTGTAGTTTCCTGCATTTGCCAATGCTATTTTTGGTCTGATCAGAAGAATTTTCCTTAAATCATAAAACAAAACAGGAAGGGCAAGTTAAGACCTGATGTACAGCCAAACGAGGCTACATACGAACACTGGTTGAGATCAACTCTTTTTTTTGTCCTATTATGATGTATATTGAACAATTACTACATGCAAACACTTTTCAAGTTTCTGTTTGCAGACTCAAGGGGTTTTTCTTAAGTCTTTCAGGAACCAGTAGGAATGTAGTTTCTACAAATCCAGAAAAGAAAAAGAGATAGTGAAAAACATTAATTCTCTCTCAAAATTTAGTAGATACACTCCATTGGTCTACATAGCACTGAAGAATCCTTCTTGAAGGCCAAATAGCTGTCTGAAAGGATACATTAATGTGTTATCTCACATAACATGTAAGAAACTTACTTATTTAGAAAGATCACTCGACAGTTGTAGCGAACATTTCTGTGCAGAACAGGCCTGTGAAAGAAGAAGCAGTTAGCAGTGACTAAGCTCATTAAATGAAATTAAAAAATCTACAGAATCTACTTCACTGCACAAAAACTATTTTTAAGACCTCACAAAAAGGAATTAAGCAAAACAATATATCAAGTTTTAGCTTCTAATTTTTTAATTCAAGTAGTTGTTTGAAAAAAAAAATCAGAGTTACTGACTATCCTGTCAGTCTCAGATTTGTCAACTACTAATCAAGCAGTGGCATGCCTTAGGAACACGAGCAGACCAGAAGAATCCCCTTGGCTGGACCAACTTATTTAGTCAAACCTGACTTCCCACAATACTACCAGCCCAGTTCAAAACCATTTAAATCAATACTAACACCTCGGTGTACACGTTAATTTTACAGTTATAATTTATCACTGGTCACTGTCAGCACATGACATACAATGGTTTCGGTGATTTTGACACACACTTAGGTTGCTTAAAGATGTCTGTCAGTCAAAGCAAGTCACCTTAGCCCCAACATTCCTAAAAGACAGTCAATTTATAAAGCCCTTGGTGTTACATCCAACACAAAATCTGAGCTGTGGCAATAGGGCCCAGCTGTTAAGGTTCCCAATAAATAACAAATATCCTATTTGTCTCCTGAAGGGCTCAACCATCGGAAATCTTTGAAAGGATTATCTTTCAGAAACTGTTTCACATATTGCAGTCCTAGTCATGGTAATTAAGAGGGAAAGTAGTGCAGTTCCTAAGATGCATTTGAAAGTCTGGTGCAGAGCCCTCACTATCCAGAAACACGGCAGAGGCAGCACTCCCTAAAGACCTACCCCTTCATCACACGTACACAAAAAAACCCCAAAACTTACATTCCCACATCACAGATAATATCTTGAGTCGCTGGAGACTCCAAAAGCTTTTCCAGAACTTGAAAGGAATGCAGGAGCGTGTCAGACTCATAATAGTGATCTGAGCAGCCATAACCACTGCATAAAAACATTAAGAAACCAAAAATTCAGCCAAATCAGCACCAGAGGTGAAGAACCAGAACTACTTCACACTGTGAACATTTCACCCACACAGGTAATTTATACAGAAAATGAGGAAGGAGCGCTGTCAGCATCATCCCTATTGACAGCATTTAAAAATCCCTGGTGTTTTATATCGCCCCATGACACTCCTTTCAAGGGCAGCAGGCAGAATTCGAAGTGCCACATTTTCTCTGAAGGGAAACTCGCTGAAATAGTTTAAAAAAATCATCGGTGTCGGTCAGGTTTCCAAGCCAAACCAATCCTGCGCTCACAACCACAGCGCTTTTCTCAGCATCGACAGCCGCACGCTTTAAGTATTTACTAAGCTTTGGGCACTGCGGGACCGGTTTTCCTACTCTGTTTTTTCACGATTAACTGGGAAGGCACCGAGCCCGGGGCCAACAAAGCGCTCTTACCAGATCTCGAGCTCTGGGCCGAGCCGGTACCGGGCTCCTTTGCTCCTGGCGATGGCGATACCTGCAAGAGCCGTGGGGTAAAGCCCGGCCCTGCCCGCGGTTCCTGGACAGGCACGGGAAACGTGAGGGAGGCAGGGAGGGAAGGCAAGGAGGGAGAGGAGGAAGGGGCGAAGGAAGGAAGGGAAGAAGGGAAGGCAAGGAAGAGAGGAAAGGAAGGGAAGAAGGGAAGGCAAGGAAGAGAGGAAAGGAAGGGGGAAAGGAAGGAAGGGAGGGAGGGAGGGAGCGAAGCAGGGAGAGCGGGAGGGAAGGAAGGAGGGAAGGCTCCTGAGGGCAGCCAGGGAGCCCGGCAGATGCCGCCACCACCTCACTCACTTCTGACAATCCTCTCCAGGTTGCCCTCAAAGTCCAGAGCCCACTGGTTGAGGGCGCAGGTGGCCACGGTCACGGCCCGGCCCATGGCGGCCCCGCCGCCTTCCTTCCCGGCCGCTTCCGGGGCGGTGCCGGCGCTCCCGATCCCTCCTCCCGATCCCTCCTCCCGGTCCCTCCTCCGGCCCCGCCAGAAACACCTGCAGCGTGGGAACAGATCTGACACTGCCTGGCCCTGCTGCCCTGCGCTGCTGCATTCCCTCAGCCGCTCTCCGCAGTTTTACATCCCGGGATAACGGGAATACGGTCTTAGCCAGTTTTTTTTTTTTTAGCCGTGCAACTTTTAAGAGGTGTCGCTCAAAACGAGTTCGGAGTGTGAGCGGTTCAGTGGAGCAGGGTGAGATGGTTTTTTTGGTGTGCTGTTCGCATTTCAGCGACATCCCGGCGGCTCTCAGGGTGCTCATCCCAAAGGGACGGGGCTCTTCAGAGTCCAGTCTCTTCTCTCGTGCCCCTCATCCCATATTTGGCTGCCCTGAGCCTCCTTACATACTGGATTCTAACTTTATTCTGTACTAGAATCATAGAATCCTTTAGGTTGGCAAAGACCTGAAGTCTAAGACCTAAAGACTAAGTCCGACCGTTCCCCCAGCACTGCCAAGGCCACCACTAAACCATGTCCCCAAGTGCCACATCTACATGGCTTTTAAATACTTCCAGGAATGGTGACTCCATCATTGCCCTGGGCAGTCTGTTCCACTGCCTGGAAACCCTTTCCATGAGGAAATTTTTCCTAACATCCTAGCTAAAGCATCCCTAGCACACCTTGAGGCCATTTCTTCTTGTCCTGTGGCTTATCACCTGGGAGAAGAGACTAACCCCCTACCCGGCTCCCCCCTCCTGTCACGGAGCTGTAGAGAGTGAGAAGGTCCCCCCTGAGCCTCCTTTCCTCCAGGCTGAGCCCCCCCAGCTCCCTCAGCCACCCCTCATCACACTTGTGTTCCAGCCCCTTCCCCAGCTCCATTCCCTTCTCTGGACATGCTCCAGCCCCTCCCAATGTCTTTCTCGTCACGAGGGGCCCAAAACTGACCCCAGGGTTCAAGGAGGGGCCTCAGCAGTGCCCAGCTGGGGGGACAGTCATTGCCCTGGCCCTGCTGTCACACTGTGGATGTCACAGGCCAGGATGTCATTGGGTTTCTTGACCACCTGGGCCCACCTGGGCTGGTGTTCAGCCGCTCTCGACCAGCACCCCCAGGCCCTTTCCCACCGGGCTGGTGCAAATTATGCTGAAGTGATAGATAATGGTACATTTTATGATGATCAGCGGAACATTTAGAACTTGCTGACAAGCCAGGGTGGTCCAATCCAGTTTAGGGACTCTGTGGATGCCTAAAAGTAACAAGCTGGAGCTCTGTGGCTACCTAAATTGACAGGCCTGCAGCGCTGCAGAGCTTTGTTGTGACCCAGGGCAGGTCTCCTTGGACGGGAGACTGATGGGAGACCTCACTGGAGCCTATGGCTTCCCGGTGTGGGGAACAAGAGGGACAGGCACTGATCTCCTCTCTGTGGTGACCAGTGACAGGACCCCAGGGAACGGCCTGAAGTTGTGTCAGGGGAGGTTTAGGCTGGATATTAGCAAAAGATTCTTCCCCCAGAGGGCACTGAACAGGCTGCTCCGGATGCTGTCGCGGGCGCAGCCACGAATTAACTGCCCGTTCTCCGCGAAGGCACCTCCGCCCCCTCAAGGATTCCCGGGAATCCCTTCCCAGGCCCCACCCAACGCCCCCCGCGCGGGGCTCGAGGCGCCGAATCCTCCCCGCGCGCTCCTCGCCCCATGGGTTGAGCGAGCGCAGCCAATGGGAGGACGCGGAGTGGGCGGGGCGAGGCGGGGATTGGTCGGGGCGGTGGGGCGGGGGCGGGGCCGAGAGGCGAGGCCGGCACCGGCCGAGGGTGCGTGGGTCAGTTGCAGGTTGGAGCGGACGGCGGTGCACGGGGGCGGGAGCGCTGCCGCTGAGCGACCCCCGGCCAGCAGCTCTCGGTTCACGGTCCCGGCGAGCGGCCCCTGGTGCGTGATCCCGAGTGAGGGATCCCCGGTGCGCGGCCCCCGGTCAGTGGCCGCTGGTGAGTGACCCCCCCAGAGAGCGACCTGCGGTGAGCGACCCCCGGTAGGTGACCCCTCGGTGAGGGTCCCCCCGGGTGAGCGACCCCCGGTGAGGGACCTCCGGTGAGGGACCCCTGGTAAGTGACCCCTGGTGAGGGACCCCCGGTGCGCGGCCCCCGCGGGGTGTCGGGCCGGGGATGGGCGCGTTCCTTCCCCATCGAGAGCCGAGCGGGGCCGTGGCGGGAGCTGTTAGTTACAACCATTTCAGAGTTTCCAATAAAAACTCGCCATTCTTGAAGTGCAAAGCCTGAAAAATGAAACAGGTGTACAGTAGGGATTCTTGTTGCCAGCACTGATATGGACATAAGTTATTAGAGAGTGTAGCAAAGCTAGCAACAGAAATAACCTTTGGCTCTATAGCACCGCTGTGCATTAATTGGTTATGGCAACAAAGTTTTGCTTTTAAACCCATCTGCTAAGGAAACCTTTCCAGAAATGTGAGATTATAATGCTACTTTTCTTAAGAAGTTGTGAGGCCTTAATACAGTGTACACAGATGAGATGCTGAAATAGGAGAGAGTCCAGTTCCTGATGATCAGTGGAGATGAGGAATCAGGTATGCTGAGCAGGCTTCGAGCTTTGTGATTTTTACAAGTCTGTAAGTTTTTCCTAGGTGGACTATTTCAAATCTGTTTTAGGAAGAAACACTATTTTCTGTTTTATCCACTTTCCATACTGCAATTTATCCCTAAAATTCAACCTGTAGTTTCAAAAGATAAAAATCCTTAGACTAAATCTTTTGGCCTCAGTAGCCAATTGCAACTTGCCCAGGGAAGTTCAGAAACAGCACCACCATTCATTAAATACACTGTTCTGTACCAGAGATCCTACAGAGATTCAGCTCCAGTGCTAAACCCCATAGAGTGTCAACTGCCATAATAGCTGATTTTTGGCTTTGGTGAGATTATCTCCTGTTTTCTTTGGTGTAGCTGGCACAACTGGAGCAAGGGATCTGGGCAAAAGTACATCCTTACCAGGGTCCAGTATAGATAATGTTACAATTAATGATACAGATAATATTAGCCATTTCTCTAATTAAGGAAGGCAATTAGATACAGAAATTTATTTTCAGAGGTTTAAAGAATGTGAGGAAACATTTTTCTTTCCTTTTGCATTTCACATGTAAATAATATGCCATATATAATATTATATATCTTAAAAGAAATTTCCAGTTAGCAAGAAGTTTAATGGATTAGTTCGACATCAGTGTTTTGATTATGTTTTGCTGAATGTAAGTTCGTAAGGAATTGTTAAGGATTTTTTCCTTCCTTCCCTACACCCCCAAATTTCATGTAATCAGAAGGCTATAGAAGAGTTTTTAATAACTGTTATTTGTGTTTCTCTTGTGAAGCCATAGGCATTACTGAGAACCAGCTGGAGTAATGCAATAAATTATTTTCTTTCCTAGGAGACATCATGGCAGCCCATCAGGAGAAAAAACTTGCTCAAGAAAGAAAACACAAACCCACCCAAAATGATAATCAAACCTCTCAAGTGCAGTGGGGAAGAGCATGGTGAGAGAAGCTGATGACTCTAATTAGTCCTTGTATTTCCAAGTGCTTCATACTTAACTCCTAAAGTTGCACCATTCCTGTTAGTAACAGACTGTTGTAGTGCCCTGCTCTTGAAGGCTCATGGATATTTTCCTGTAGCAACAGATGCCAGAGTCCTTCAAGATTTTTAAGGCAGAGAGCTTGCCAGATGGCTTAGGCTAAAACACAGTCCTCCTTGCAAAAAAGGAAAGTGAATCGTAAAAATTGGTAAAATTTGCAGTTCCTTCAAGAACCAAAATATTTCCTGAGCTTTGGAAAGCAGGCATCCCGGCATCTGTGTATTTCCAGCTGACAACTCCTGTTGTAGCAGGATTTATGGCTGATGAGCCTGTTCTCCCAGAGCTGGGCAGGTGTTGGTGGAGTGTTGTCTTGCAGCTGGAAACAGCCATGGCTGTCTGTGGCTTTCCAGACAGCGTGTGGGACAGGGAGTTCAACTCCTGGCCATCCAAGGTCCGTCTTTTCTGTCTTCCCAAGCTTTTTGTAATGTTCTTGGGGTTCTGTTATCACTTCCAGCTGAATACTCTACCAGCTTTAGCCATGATTGCCATCAAAGCCATGAAGTCTGTAATAATAATCCGCTTTCCCGAGGGGAGATAATGTCTAATGTGTTGCTGTGATCAAGTAGAGTAGTTTTATAACAGTTTGAGGTAAAGTGTGTTCTATGTTCAGTGCTAAATTTTTTATGGCTATTTGACCCACAGAAATGTATGTGCCCTGAAAACATTTTCAGTTTTCATCTGGAAGGGCCACTGAAAAAAAATTGTCTGATATAATTAAACCACTTCTCTACCTGAAAACCAGGGAAAAAACTGCTGTGTTTTGGATTGCAGGGAGGTGGACTGGTTTTCCTTGGCAAGCATCCTTTTCCTGCTCCTGTTTGCCCCACTGATTGTGTATTACTTCATCATGTCCTGTGACCAGTACCAGTGCTCTCTGACTGATCCCCTCAGGGACTTGCTCACAGGGAACAAACATCTGTCTGACATCTGGAACAAGACTCCCACGCTGACCTACAGGGCTGCTGGCATCTATTCCCTTTGGGTGGCTTTCCAGGTACATCACTGAGTTATGAACTGAGGAAGGGTCTGGTTTTTCAAACAGCTCTTGGATGAATCCTTTTACACGAAGGAAAGTGGAATGTAGCCCTGGCATTTACTCTTTGGTGTTTCTCACTTTCCATGGATTTTGGAATCCAAGTGAAGCTTATGGACTGGAAAAAATAAGTGTATGGGGAATATACACAAATAATCTTTGATGAAGATACTATAGAAAAACAATACCCATTTGTTTTAAATTCATACCCAATAAAGCACTGCAGAAGGGCTGATATTTTCTATAAACAGGCAGTAAAAGAAGGCTGTCAAATGAAATATAACTTATATGTGTGAAATATCTTCGAACTTAGCAAACCTATTTTTTTTCCTAATTGGGAAACACTTATAACTCAGATTAATTTCAAAATAAAAGGATGAGGACCTGAATCTAGTTAGCAGTTGTCCTGCCTCCCCACCAAAAAAGGATTAACAACCTGTCAGGAAATACATCTTTAGGGTTCTGTATTAGCTTGGATGTATTACTAGCCTAAAATCACAACTGCTAAATATTGCCATATTTGCTTATCCAATAACTGCAGATTATATTTGGTATATATATAATAGTACTACAAGGGGTTTTGTCTTGTCTGTTAATACAATCTCTCTCTTCTAGGTGGTTTTGTATGTGTTTGTTCCTGATTTCTGCCATAAATTTCTTCCTGGATACGTGGGAGGTGTACAGGAAGGTGCTGTCACCCCTGCTGGTAAGGTCTTCCTTAGAATACACCCACACCATCCAGTCTTTTAAAATTAGAGTATTTCTGTACTTACAGTCTTTAATAGCCCATTTGTGGCTGGAGGAAACATGGATGTCAGTGCCCTCACCTCCCTCATGTGTTCAGTTGAAAGCCAAATAGAAAGCAGCCTGGGTCCTCTTGTAGAATAAATCATAGAATCTCTCTCTCTTACTGTCAGTAAACTATTGATACAGCAGGCAGCACACCAGCAATGGAAAAGTTGATAATTTTGGCACTTAGAATCACCAGTGGACTATTGCTGGTATGTGACGAGGCAGTGGTACCTGCTGGAGCTACGTTAGCCCAAGAGACTGGAACCAAATGGGTGATGTGAAGTAAATGTTAGAAAGGGTCACTTGTTAGTTCTGTTAGTTTTGGGGGAAATTCTAGATTCAGTTTTGTGAGGAGAAAACTCAGCCTAACAAAGCCTGATGGTTACAGCAGAGCCTAAGGTAACCTTCAGAAAAGTGAGGTCGTGTCATGAGCACTTGCTTGAGCTTCTATACATAATAAAAAGCTGTATTAATGTAGTGTTGCTAAAGAGTTCATTTTTTCTTTGTATTTTAGGTGTAGTGAATAAATATGAAATCAATGGACTTCAGGCCTGGATCATTACCCATGTGCTTTGGTTTGCAAATGCCTATTACTTCCACTTCTTCTCCCCTACCATCATTTTTGACAACTGGATTCCTCTGCTGTGGTGTGCCAATATCCTGGGATATGCAGTTTCCACGTTTGCCATGATTAAAGGCTACTTCTTCCCTACCAATGCCAAAGACTGGTATGTGACTTTGAGTAATGAGAGAATGCTAGTTATTAAACAGTTAAATGAAAATTGGGCTTATAAATTGAATGACTGGCACAAATAATATATAAGCTAATATTTGACTGTGGTTCTTTGCTTCATTGGCACCATCCTCCGTGTTTCACACATGTGACAGCAGCATTAGTGTCACAGATACCTCCATCCTATAAGTAAAGTTATAGTTAGACTGTTCAAAAGCGTTACAAAGAGTAAAGTAGGACACTTCTGAAATTCTAAAATTTATCTCTATTAATGTAATGCTTCGGTTGGGTCAGTTTGTGTTGTCTTGCACCACCTTATGTTGGTTTATGATTTTTATTATCACTACATCACATTAATCTGAAATGTGTAGTCACAATAGTAATTGACTGTACTTGTGTATAACTGTGTACTTTTCTATTTTTTTGTGCTTTCCAGCAAATTCACTGGCAACTTCTTTTACGACTACATGATGGGCATTGAATTTAACCCTCGAATAGGAAAGTGGTTTGATTTCAAGCTCTTCTTCAATGGGCGCCCTGGGATTGTAGCCTGGACTCTAATTAACCTTTCCTATGCTGCCAAACAACAGGAGCTGTATGGCCAAGTGACAAACTCCATGATCCTTGTCAATGTCCTTCAGGTAAATGCAAAGGAGGAAATTAAGAAACCAGTTTGGAAATGAACTCAAAGTAGGGAAAAACCTCCTTCCATGGAAATTAAACTTAGACAGGAAATTTAATTGGCCTAAACAAGCTCATTCAGTGATGACATAGTGGGACTTCGTTGGACACTTGTGTTCCTTCAGAGTGCTACCAGTGCCTTGGTCATGTCTACACCAGATTTCAGTGGAAACTTCAGTGGAAACTTTTCTGAGCCTCTGTTCTGGACACAGGCATAGCCTGATCTTGAATCCAAATTAAACAGAGGCAAATTCTGTGGCTTTAGATGGAGCAAGACTGGGTGGGTTTTTTCTGAGGGCAGCGCTACACCTGACTTTGTGTGTGTGTGAGAGACAGGCAGAACTATAAATGCCTGCACACCTCCAAACAGTCCGTGTGGTGCTGTGCTTTCACCTGAAGAGACCCCAAGGTAATAAATACAGGGCACAGTTTGGATTTACTCATTGATTTGTGTAAATGAAAGCCTGTCCAATGGAAGCTCTATCCCCCTCTGTGTAACCATATGGCTCTAAGCTGAAGAGTGGTCAGGGTGGTCAGTTGTGAGTTCACTTCTGAAGTGCGTCCTTACGTAGTACACTTGCCTTAGTCATCATATTTTTGTCTACATAGATGTTGTGTATCCAGATAGATTGCATTGGTGTGATATGTTCCTCTTATTACCCTGTTTTTCAAGTGTTAGCAAGGAATTCACAAGTGAATTTGAGATCATATCCCAAGACAGCAGAGATTAGGCTGATGCTGTTGAACAGGGTAAGTGGTGACTGTGCTCTGTTATTAATGGGAAATTGTTCTGTTGCAGGGTATTTATGTTGTGGACTTCTTTTGGAATGAAGCCTGGTATTTGAAAACTATTGATATCTGCCATGATCATTTTGGATGGTATTTGGGCTGGGGAGACTGTGTTTGGCTGCCTTACCTCTATACTCTGCAGGTAAAAATGTGTACAATCCATACTTGGGCTGAAAGGAAAGAACCTTTCCAGAAACATTCCGCCCAGCAGCATAATTTGTACCTTAAATAATTACTAGACAGTTTGAGTGTTGAGAATCCATTACAACATTCCTTGTAACAATTCGCTTGCAGGAAGGTTTACTGTCCATGCACAGAATTGACATATTTTCCTTCTTTTGGGCCTTTTTCTGTCACTGTCTATTTTGTCTGCGTATTTTTCTAAATCCTTTGTTTCTTTTTGTACTGCTGCATGTTGAGGGTCTTGTGGTTGGTGGTGGTTGGTTTGGCTTTTGTTGTTTGTTTTTTTCCCTTCTCTCCTGCTTTGCTTGCATCCTGGCAACTTCTCTCTTCTTGTTTCACGAAAAAGTGCAATTTAGGAGAGAGAAAGAGAGAAGGCAAATGCAGGATGCAGAGTTTTGTGCAAGTTTTCCACAGTTGTAGTGGTGGGAGCGGGTTTTTCCATCCTTTCTTCTTGTCTGTTGTGGGTCACTGTAGTCAAGTAACTGGTCTGGCATCCTGAGCACATATTGCAAGTTTTGTTTGTATTTTGGTTTTTGTATAGTTGTATTTTGTTTGCAACTGTTGTTTCTGTGCTCCCCAGGGTTTGTATTTGGTTTACCACCCCGTCCAGCTGGGCACAGCCAACGCCGTGGGGGTGTTGATGTTGGGCTTGATTGGCTACTACATCTTCCGAGCCACCAACCACCAGAAGGACCTTTTCCGTCGGACAGATGGGAACTGCAGGATCTGGGGGAAGAAACCCGAGTACATCGAGTGCTCCTACATGTCTGTGGATGGCACCAAGTACTACAGCAAGTTGATGACCTCGGGATTTTGGGGGTGGGCTCGTCACTTCAACTACACAGGAGACCTGCTGGGCTCGCTGGCCTATTGCCTGGCCTGTGGGTTTGCACACATCTTGCCTTACTTCTACATCATTTATATGACCATTCTGCTCATCCACCGCTGCATCAGGGACGAGCACCGTTGTTCCAGCAAATATGGGAAGGACTGGACACGCTACACCGCTGCGGTGCCCTACCGGCTCATCCCTGGGGTGTTTTAAGGCTGACACAGAATCCAGGGAAAAGAAAGAAGAAAGGGTTTTTGTTTTTTGGTTTTTTTTTTTTTTGAGGTGAATGAGTTTGTTCACACAGGTAAACTAACACCAAGGTTTTGTGAAGGACATTCTGTGCTGTTCTGAAGGAGAAAATGCTGCTGGACAATAATCCTTGCTCTACTGAAGGAACTTACAGGCAATGCTGTGCTTAAAGTAAATGAAATGAGGCACTGAAATGCCCCGCTTTTTAGAAAACTCTTCTACCTGGAATTCCCTCCTGTACCTCCCCAGCTCCCAAATTACCTTGGAGATGAAAAGTTGCATGTATTGAGAGTCCTGAAATCCCCCAGAGCTGGGAGGTGGCCTTACCTTTCCCAGTAGCAGAGTTCTGGAATCAGTTTCCAGTGATTTAGGAGAGGAGGAAGGCAGTTCTGTGATGTCTTTATGAAAGAAGCTGTCTGCTGCAGTTGCTTGTGACAGTCAGAACCTACAGTCAGTAACGAGCCCAAAGGAGGATTTATTGTTTGTTGCTTTTCAGAGAAATACCGAACTGGAGAAGTTGATGTTAAATCATGGTTAGAATCTAAAGGAAATGTTTGTGAAAGCTGGTATAAATTAGTCTAGCTCAAAAGTGACATTTCTCAGCCCCTGAGAATATGGTCTGTGACCAACTGAGTATTATTTTGATGCTGAAACCAAATCTTGCTTTGTGCAGATGCTGAGCTCTGCTGGTTTGGGCTGGGGTAGAGTTAAATTTCTCATAGTAGCTGGTATAGGGCTGGTTTTGGCTTTGTACTGAGACTGTTGATCATGCAGAGATGTTCTCCTGATTGCTGAGCAGTATTTACAGTGTCAGGGCCTCTTCTGCATCTCACCCACCGGGGATGTGGGCTGGGAGTGCACAAGGAGTTGGGAGGGGACACAGGTGGGACAGCCCTGTGGCATCATGCTCAGGCAAGAAAGAAGGGGGATTGTTCAGAGTGGTGTTATTTGTCTTCCCAAGTCACTGTTACATGTGATGGAACCCTGTTTTCTTGGAGGTGGCTGAACACCTGCCTGCAGATGGGAAGTGGGGAATGGATTCCTTGTTTTGTTTGTGTGCACAGCTTTTCCTTTACCTATTAAACTGTGTTTATCTCAACCCCTGAGTTTTCTCACTTCTCTGATTCCCTCCCCCATCCCACTGCAGGGCAGCGAGAGGGTGGCTGTGTGGGGCTGAGTTGCCAGCTGAGGTTAAAGCATGACAGTCCTTTTTGGTGCCTAGTGTGGGGCTGGAAGGGTTTGAGAGAACAACAGGTTGGAATGGAATGTGCTAAACTGAATTTGTAGCTGTTAGTGCTGTTTAGCTGTTCACTGACAGGCTCCTGTGCTGGCCAAGGGCTCACTGGTTGTTAGTTATTAGTGCTCGTTAGTGGCTTAATTTGGGCTTTGCTGGTTCTCATCTTACTGTGCTATGCCTGGGGACACTCTGGTGACAGCAGTGGTGACACACCTGGGCTGGCAGGTGGCCAGGCATTGCTGCTGTTTCTGTGCTGCTGCTGTGCAGGACAGTCTGGAACTCCAATGTGAACTCCAGCCAAAGGAACTGTGACCTGTGGATGAGTGCATATGGGAGCAGGACACCCTGAAGCATCAGTGGCTGTGGATAAGCCCAAGGACAAGCCCGAAGGATCTGTGGTTGTGGATAAGTCCATGGTGCAGCAGGTACACCTTGAAGCATCAGCGCCTGTGCACGGGGTCATGCTGGAGCACCTCAGAGCACGTGGCCGTGGAAAATCCCATGACAGGGCAGGAACTGCAGCCGTGGGTAAGGCCATGTGGAATTCTGCAGCGTGGTTCAAAAACTTCATTCTGTACAGTTTGTGTAAAATCACGTTTGTAGAAATGGAAGAAATAAATTCTTAGTTTCAAGATAAACCCCAGTGCCCAATCCATGGCTCCCAGGAATTTGCAGCAGTGCCGTAGGAGATGACCTTCCACACGTTGCTGCACAAGATCCTGCAGTGCAAAGGCAGGTGTTCCCAACTCCAGGGCTCTCTCCCAATCCAGGATGGCAGGAGCAGGAATATCTTGGCACCACAGTTACTTCTGACAAGAGACTCCATCCCTCCCAGAGGCTCTGGGAGAGCTGCTGGAGTCAAACACAGGAGCCCCTCTGGACAGGTTTCCCTGCTGCCTGGGAGGGGTGGGGAACAGCAGAGCCCGCTCCTCCCTGAGGATGCACGTGGCCAGGAAAAGCCTGGAATTAAGAATGGGAGCCCAGGCCATTACAGTAAGGCCTTCCCAGGAACAGCTGGTGGCACAGCAGCAAGTGTCCTGGAGCTGCCACTGCCCAATCCATGCTTCCCAGGATGTTTCTGTATAGGAAGAGGCTACGGGTGGTGTGGGACAAGATCTTCCAGTGGCAAAGGCAGCTGTTCCCATCTCCAGGGCGTTCTCTGGAACCAGTCCTGCAGGAGCAAATGAAGCAATATCTGCACAACCAGGTTACTTCTGGCAAGAGACTCCATCCCTCCCAGAGCCTCTGGGAAAGCTGCCAGACTCCAGACAGAGGAATCCCTATGGACAGGTCTCCCTTCTCCCTTGGAGCCACAGGTGTCAGGAGACCCATCTCATCTCAGAGCATGGACCTGGCAAGAAAAAGCCTGGAATAAATGAGCTTGTTGCAGGCTTCCAGAAAAGCATTCCCACAAACCAGTTGCACAGCTGAAAGATGCCTGGAGCCACCGGTGCCCAATCCATGGCTCTCAGGATGCTGCCACATGGGAAGAGCCTCCGTGCAGTGCTGGACAAGGTCCTCCAGCGGCAAAGGCAGCTGTTCCCATCTGCAGGGCACTCTATTTATCCGTGTGTGGAGGAGCAAGAAAGGGAATATCTCCTGCACACCTGCATTACTTCTGACCAGAGCCTTCATCCTGCTCTGAGCATCTGTGACCCCTCTGGACTCCGCCCCTGAGGATGCACGTGGGCAGGAAAAGCCTGGAAGTAAGAATGGTAGCCCAGGCTGTTGCAGTAAGGCATTCCCAGGAGCAGGTGGCAGAGCAGCAACTGAGCTCAAGACTCTGGTGTCAATCCAAGACTTCAAGGAAGCTGCAGCAGTTCTGTATGAGAAGACCATCCATATGTGGCTGGAAGAGATCTTGTGGTGACAAAGTCAGGTGTTCCCATCTCCAGGGTGCTTTCTCCTGCCAACTGTGGACGAGCAGGATAATGACTATCTCACACCTCCACTGCTTCTGGCAAGAGCCTTCATCCTTGCCAGAGCCTCCCTGAGAATTGCCAGAATCCAGACAGAGGAACCCTGTAACCAGGTCTCGATGCTCCCTCACAGGTGCAAGTATCAGCAGCCCCTGCTGGTACCTGATGATGCAAATCAACAGGAGAAGCTTGGAAGTAAATGAGGGAGCCCAAGCAATTCCAGTGAGGTATTCCCAGGAGCAACTGGCACGGCTGAAAGTGTCCTGGAGCTGCTGATGCCCAATCCATTGATCCCAGGAGGCTGCCATGTAAAAAGATCCTGAGCACAATCACTGGACAAAGTCCTTCAGAGGTAAAGACTGCTGTTTCCATTTCCAGGCTGCTCTCCTGATCCAGCTGTGGAGGACCAGGATAAGGAATATCTCCATACCGCCGTTACTTCTGGCCAGAGCCTTCATCCTTGCCTGAGCCTCCCTGAGAATTGCCCAACTCCAAACTGTATTTATCTGGATTGTCCAGATAAAGATTTACAAATATAAAATAAGATTCTTGGTTTCCAGTAGCTACAAGCTGTAATCACACACAAGACATTTGTCATTTTTCTTTTTGCAAAAAGCATGGATGACTTTTCCCTTTTATATTTTTCCCTTCTGAATGCATCTCTTTCCTTTTTCCACTTCCTCTATTCAGAAGACCTTTCCTATGGTTTATTCCTCTAGGGAATCAGTATAGAGATGTACCTGATGCAACACATACTTATTAGATTTTTTTGGTTTTGATTTATACTATGTTAAGATGATGAAACATGTATTTTACATTACCTTGAACTGCAAATTTGTTACATAATTAAGGAAAAATATATTAAATATATAAAAAAAGGTTTGAATAGCATAATTAAAAAAAAAAGTTTTCTTACCTGTCCAGTTACCATAAAGTATGTCTGAATCTGTCATCTAAACAAAAAAAACCCTCTTTTTTTTCCCCTTTTGATTTGACACACTTAGACATTGTTTCCTGTATCAAATGAAGCAAAAAAAATACATTATTACAGTTTTATTATTTCCTAAATGCATTAAGTGTGCTGTAGACCACCCCTGAATTGTGTCAGCATTCCTGCAGGCTGGATCAACTCGACTATAGCTTTGCATCAGGGGTTAGAAATCATTAACCATCCTCATGCTGAGAGGTGGAGCCCTGAGCCCAGAAATGCCACCTAGTGACAGAGGCTTTCCATGTGTGGAGGCATCTTCCCTCTCTAGGGCTATTCCCAGTTCCCCTCTCCCCGCTCCCTTCCATCTGTAAATGGAACACTGACAATCCAGAATGGTTATACACTAGAACACTGGGATGTATTTTTTCTTTAGGTAGATCTATGGCAACCTGGGCATTTGTCACTTTTCTTCCTACAATAATCCAACCAAACTAATTTGTCACTGCTCCAAGTAATTACCAGCAGCTTTTGCTGTATTTTCCCATTATATCTCTTATTTATATAATCCAAGTTAAATAAGTACAATTTTAAAACATTGGCACTCCTATATTTGAAACTCCCAGCATAGCACAGGGATTTGAGAGGTGAACTTCAAACTTGATCAGTGATCTTGGCAGCATGGGGCCAATAATATGAAATATCAGGACAAAAGTTCGTCCAATACACACACCCAAAAATCCTTCCAAAAATACATATTGCTTTATTTCAATTTTTTTTTTTTTTGTATTCTGGAAGGAACAAATTTTACAGCTCTGCAATACAAACCACAAAGTGTGACCCAGGCAGGAAGGGAAGCAAGCAGGTGGTCGTTCAGATTCCAGCTTTAAAGGGTGACATCAGCTGGACACTGCCTGGAGCACTTACACATTGCTCACGTTAGGATGAAGCTTCCAGAAGAGAGAAAAATTGTTTTCAGGCTTCTCCAAAAAAGAATTTCTTTACACAAACCCCAAATCTGAATGAAATTAGGCCTTCCTTTCCCCTCTATACGTCCAGTACATCTGTATGGCGCAGAGATGGAACAAGGAAGATCTGTCTGCACAGCAGACAAGCCTGAAGG